AAATTAGCAGTGCATCCCTTCCAAAATTGTCCTAGTAAGGCCTTTCTGGTTTGTGTATCGATTCATGCATTTAAGCCAGTCCTATCCTGCTCCTTGGCCAAGCCAAATCCTGCACCCATGAGGGCTCCTGCTCACACGATTTTCTGCTGAAAGATACAGCACACAAGGAAAAAAATGGTGAGGGAAGAGGAAAAGTGCAGCCCTTCTTCCTCTTCCTCCTCAAGGGCTGGTAGAATGGCCTGCTTGCCCATATCTCCCTCAGTTCCAGCCAGCTGGAATGGCTAGTGGTAGCAGCAGATGGAGAGGAAGAGCTTTCAAGAAGGGGTTTTTGTTTTGGCATTTAGTGAGAGATAGAGCCCAGCTTTGCACGAAAAATTCCCTGGTTTCTTCAGATAGGGGAGAAAACTCCAGTGTCTGAAACCTTGGAGAGCCACTAACAATCGGGGCAGACATGCCAACAGTCCAGTTAGATAAAGACACTTCCTGGGTCCTCGTTCAAATTGGCTCTTTCTTCAGAATCATGAGGACTATACCCTTACTTGTATTTTAAGAGATGCACTGTGCATTCCTCACCCCCAGCTGATTAAAGCATGAAAATGTGCTTTTGAGGGAAACTTATGTATTTCAGGGAGAACTATGCATTCGAATGTGCCAATTTGTGCAAACCCTTCTGTGCAAAATCTGATTTTTTTTTTCCATGCATGCACAACGGAATGAAAGATACCTGACACTTGGCAATTGCAGATGGGATGCATTTTACAACATCTGTTATATCCTGATTAGTCAGTAACAGGCCAGCAGCAGTTCCGGATTCGTGTCTTTACATGCCTTTCCAATGCACCTCCAGCAAACGGAGTTTGAGGCAGGAAAGTGCCAGAAAACCTTTGTTTTTCATGAGGAACGCTGCCACTAGTCCAGAGTATCTGCTTCCTCTTCCACCAGAGAGCCAAAGAAAGCCTGGCTCCCTCCAGGCGAAGGACACTCTGCAGATGCTCAGAGGTACTTTTCATTTTACTGTGCTTTCATCTGTTCCAAGAATGGGGAACAAAAATAGTTTCTTCCTCCCAGTGCCCATGGCTAGAACAATGACGGCCTTTCCCTGAAGCCCCAAGCATGAATCATCACACTCAACGCAGGTGGTGGGGAAGAGCGTGACGATTCCAGCCATGTTTGTTCTCACTGAAGAGCTGTGGGCGGGCAAAGGTTGTTCGAGAAAGCCCTGGGAAGGGACAGCAGGGCCCGGAGCTGGCCAAGCAGAGGAAGGAAGTGGCCAGCCAGAGAAGACAAAGAGGGTCACTGGAGGCCTCAGCCTCTGGTTGACCATGCGTTGTCATGTGCCTGTTTCCCCACAGCCTGTCGTGCTGAGAAGCCCAGAGGGATCTGACTCTTCAAGCTGAATGAAGCAGAAGCGACCTCCCTGTGTGCTGCAGGGGGACTTGTGTGCCAGTCTGGGCTGGAGGTGCTCCGTGTGTGTCTATTTCGTGTTTCCCCACTGGTGCAGATGCTTCGAGATGGAGCCCTCCTAAGCCAAAGGCCAGGAACAGCTTTTCTGCCTTTCCTTTATGGACAAGACTTTTCCTGGAAAAAGGGAGACACAGTGGGAAGGTGTCAGAACCATGGCAGACCAGTTGTGCAATATAAACCTCATAGGAAACCCTCTTGGATGATCAGGGTTTATGCATGCTTAGACAGAAAAAGTCCTACAGCCAGTTAGATGTTTAGGATGTACTCCTATAGCCTTAAGATTACTTGGAGCCCTGTGACCTCAGCACTGAGATTAAGAAAGCCAAGTCCTTTGCAGCTGATGCAGAAAGCTGACGCCACCTGCCTCTCCGAAGTTGCATGCCGGCCTTGGAAAAGAGCAAAAGGGGCATCCTGAGCCAGAGGAAGAAAGCTGGGACCACTGCCTTTCCAGATCCTATCAGTTCCCCACCCCGTTTTCTTCTCTTTGGCTGGTGCTAATCTGAACTGCTGTTGCCCAGAGTAAATCCTGCCATATCTGGCTCGGTGCACGGGAGGCACATAAGCCCCCAAGCTCCACGGTGAGTATTCATCTGTGCCTGGGGACCTTTAAGCCAGTAGTCAGTCAATCCTACCCATCCTTTGATGGAGAACAGACTCGCAACTCCCTGTCTTCCACTGGACATGACCCTGAAAGCTGCGGGCTTCTTTCTGTCTAAACATGTACAGCATCACACCTTTAAGTCAGTTGCGCAATTTATCGCCGACTGACGGTGTTAGACAGGAAACAAAGGGCTGCACTTCCCAGCCCGTCCCAGCCAGGATGCCTCGGATTGTGCCGTCAGTGAAACACTCCGCACGGCACGCAATCCAGGCTGCATGTTCAGGCAGAAAAATCTTACAGCTTCAGCCAGTGCATTAGTCACTTAGCCGGTTACGTAGATACCAGCCACGCAGACTCATGCACTCCTACACAGAGGGGAGCTTGGCTCCATGGCAATCGGTGGGGCTTTCTCACAGGTAAGCACACATAGGTGTGCCATCTTTGTCTTTTAAGAAGGTGTGCCTCCCGGCAAGACGCGAAAAATCAGTGTATTGGCGGTGTGCGGCCGAGATAGATGGCCGGGGAGGTTTTTTAGGGCCTCTTGCCCTGTCTGACTTGATGGCGTGGGTGGGAAGGTGGGGGGTGGGGGAGGGGGGGCAGCTGCCTTTCAGCACATTCCCGTTCTGTGGCAGAACCAGAGCTGTTTTAAATAATGGGCTTTCCTGGTCGGACTGGGAGGCCAGGCCCTCCCTCCTCACCGGGTTCCCATTGGTTGCTTCATAGGTTGCCCTGGTCTGCCGTTGGGTGCCTGAGCCGTCGCCCTCCCTGCAGCCTTGACTTCTGATTAAATTTGAAACTCTGTGTGCGTGTGCGTGCGCACTTGTGTGTTTCAAAAGCATCAAGTTTCACCCTTGAACTGAAGAGGCAGTGTGCATTTCTAGCAAGGGACAACCCACGGGCGGACGAGCAAGCTCAGCAAACAGCCGCAGAAAACATCCCGGCCCCTTTTTAATTGCCGTTCCTTTGCTTTGCTTTTTTATTTTAGAGGAAAAAATTAATCCTCCACTTCTGTCCTTGAGCACTCCACCCATTCTATGGATTTTCTCTCAGGGATTCTCTCATCTGTAAAAAGGATCCGCCGGTTTCTCGCCCAGAGTTTGCGGGACCACTGGGAGGGAGGCAAATCCGCACAGTGGCTTCAGGGTGATCCACGCGGGTTGACAAAAAGGCCCAAAGTCCTGGATGCAGAACTACAGGTGAGACGCTGGAAGGAGGGAAAGTGCGGCATGGGGTGGGGCTGGTTCTTGTCCAAGGGATGTTGTGAGGCTGGTGTGGGGAAGAGCGGACTTTGGGGGAGCAAAGCAGCCCTCCTGGGCTCTGATTACAGGGCCCCTTCTTCTAGATAGCCACACCCCCTTTCCTTGGCCACTCCCCTTTTCCTGGGGACAACTGATTGTGTGGTGGTTTCCTGCCCTTTGTGAGGATTTATTCTCTATTCTAAAAGTTTGAACAGGCTTTCCCAAGACTTCTTTATGGCCTCTTCCATTCTTGATGCCAACCCTTTTGCCTGCAGCCTTGCTGAGTTTGGTAGTCCACTGCCCCACACACACACCGCCACCAGAGCCACAAAAAAAAACAGGCTCATCCAAAGCAGAATTAGGTCCCTGGGGCATTTCCTACAGGTATTTCTTGCAGTGGCTCAGCCACAAGTTGCCAAACCACCAAACAGGAAGGATGCGAGCGTTGCTGGGTGCTTTTGCGGTTAGTGGTTCAAATCTGTTTTCTAGATGGTGCAGTTTCTTTTTCCTAAACAGACAGACAAAGGGGTTCTTCAGGAAGGAGAATGAGCCAGTGAGAAGGCCCTGATCTCCTCACTCCCACAGAACATTTAAATCAAGAAGATGAGTTTTGCATAAAAGGAGGAGGGAGAGGAGATTATGGGAAGAAAAAAGGAGGAGGAGGGTACATCTGAGGATATGGAAAGTGCTCTGAGTGAAATAACCCCTGCTTTCAGCACCATGGGCCTCAGCTCTTGAAGTTTGTGAAGAGAAAAAGGGTCCTTTGTGCATGTGCAGAGTGTCTTTTGCCCTTGAGCCTTCCCCATAGCTAGCACCTTGACTCTGGCTTTAAAACAAGCTTGGGGAACCTAAACCAGAAGACTTCGCTTCCATGCCAGCAGCCCAGCTTTGTTCTATTAAAAAGAGTGCCTCTGAGAATGTGGAGAGTACAGCTAACCACCCAACATCCAAGATGAGAGTCTCTTAGATATCAGAAAGAAAGCCGATGATGCTTCTGTGCACACTTACCGTGTCATTCCTCCGCAAAGCATCCTAGCTTCTGCCCATTTTTTTTTTTTTTAATGTAGGGCACTGGTGCTTCTGAGCATGTACCATTAGCCTTTTCTGCTTTTGCTGCAGGAAGAAATAACTTTTTAAAAATCAAGGTGTCACATCTCTTTCTCCTGAGCCTGCCATTGTCGGTTTATGTGTTCAACAACAAAAACAGCCCAAGCAGTGCTCCACAATCCCAAAAAAACCTCCAAATGGTCTGGACTACGATGCCCATCATCCACAGTAAAGGCGACTGAGGTTTATGGGAGCTGTTGTCCATGCGGTGGCTGCCGGGTGGTGGGAGGGTGGGGAAGACTGCACAGCACAGGCAGTCGAAAGCATATGGGAGTGAGTGAAAGAAAAGGAAACGCTCTTTGGTGCAGGCGTGGGTGAGAAGGAAGAAATCCAGAGACTGAACCCCTGTAAAAATACGCACACAAGACGCCTGATACAGGACCGTGGCTTAGAAAGGAAAGAAACACGCTTTCCGTATGACTCCGCTTCCCCTCCCTTTGCCCGAGCCTGCACAGAGGTCGCATTGCTACATAGGCAACCTTTTATTATTATTTTGTTAAAGTTTTGCTCCCTTTCCTCTTCCTCCGGGCACGTGCGCAGCTCTTGGCTGATGAATCAGATAGTCGCCTCAAGATATCGCTTCTTTCTGCCAGGGCTGCCCCCAGCTCCGTCCCGCGCATGCCTATTCAAGAGTGAGCGCGGAAAGCTGCGTGTGGGATTCCGGTTTGGCGGCCTGAGCTCACCTTTCCCAGGGCAGAAAAACCGTGTGCGTTAGGCGGGGCGCTCGCATGTGCCAGGTAAGCCCGAGCGGTACTGCTTTGCAGCTCATAAATTTCTTCCCTTGGGGAGCAGGCAGTAACGCTGCTCAGCGTGGGAGTGGCACGCTTACGGACGAGACGGTTGTTCTTCAAGTTTTCCCTTTGTTTGGAGTTTGGGTCCTAAGGCGCTTTGGGGGCTTTTCCTGGGGCCCAGCAGAGACTTTAGAGGGTCATCTTAGGCATGTTTAAACAGAAAAAACCCCTCCACCTTCCAGCCTACCCCAGCCAGTTTCTGCTTAAACATGCATAGGATCATTCTCCTGTTAATTTATTTTCTTCTTCTTCTTAAGTTTTTACTGTGAGTTTCAAAATCCATAATGGAACCTAAGAAGGAAAAAAGTAAGTAAATAAGCAAGTAAAGGAATATATGAAATTTGGATGGTTCTATTGCTCCGTCTCATACATGCACATAGTGTGTGTGAGAGTGTGTGTGTGTGTGTGTGGAGAGAGAGAGAGAAGTTAATATATAATCCTATATATTTCATATATAGCCAATTAGACTCATACTTTTAGAGATAACTATGCACAGACTTCAACAAATGCAGCCCAAATAGCCATATATTTGTCTATTTGCAAATTACCCCTAAAACTCATCCATCAGAAAATTGAAAGCCTTTGTCCTTTGCTTCTTTAAGGCAGCCATTTGTCTTTCTAATGCTTCAATATTCATCTTTCAGCTCTCAAAAGGCACCTGGAATCCATTTACGTTGACCTTGCATTAAGTTCCAAAAGACTGGTAGGTAGTTATAATGGCCTTCCTGACTTTTTGTCCTGCAAAGTTCAGAAAAACAATAAAAGGCACTCCTGAATCATGAAAGATGGGGTGGGGGGCTGTCTCAGGTGCCTGAAAAGAACATTTAGTTTGCTCAATGCATTTTTAAGCCAATCTTTTGTCTTCATCCAGGTCACTGTTATTTGTAAAAATTAGATTTATTGAGAAAACCGTCATCCCAGGATAGTGAGAATTTCCAACACAAGAGAGATCCTGGGATGGTGGTTTTCTTAACATATATGAGCCAGTTGGCTCCTGATGAAGGAAAAAGGTTGTGTCCAAAATGCAACAGATAAAAGAAATGTTCTTTCCGGGCACCTGACGGCGTTCCAAAGCATCTGCCCAGCACCTCTTTGGGAAGGCTGTTCTGTAAAATTGCATCCCATGGATGGAAGAGCAGGGGGAGAACTTTAGAGTGGAGTGTGGTGCCCATATGTTTAAACCACCATGTGAAACAAAATACATTTTTAACAGTCTGATTTAACTTCTTTTGGGACAGAACTCTGTAGATGAGGTTTTCAGCCTTGGTGATACACGTTGTACATGCTTAGAGGTAACCTTGTCTTTAGAGCATCACAATTTTCAAGGCAGGCTTCTGGCAAAAGAAAGTTCGCCAAAATGAATGCATTTTCCCCACAAAATTTTCTTTTACCAATGAACAGCTAAGCCCTGGTGATTAATTTTTTTAACTGCCACATTTTTATCTTTGCTCGGATTTTCAGAGAGGAAGGTCCCTTGGTATGGGATACAATACCAAATTCTGGCCCAGCCCAGAGAATTGAGCCATTTTCAAAAATGAAGGAGAGACACAGCTTGGGAAAATTATGGGTAGCGTGTTGCCATTTTGCTTCTGTGATTTATGGCCCAACCTATGCGGGTGTGTGAGATTTCCCCTACTTGGCGTAACTAATTGGCACATTACCGACAATATTTATGACACTCATACAGGGAGTTTGCTTCTGTCAGTGTTTTTCCAGAGTGGATCAGCAGTCTTTGCTGCTGAGAGATCTAGAGCTCATTCTCTGGTTTTCAGCCAGGATGACACAGGAATTGTATTTCTGCGTCCAACCAAAGAGACATTTACACGAGGATATCCTTCTTCCTACAGATTCTCCAGCAAAACTCAGACTAGCTGTGCCAGAGCAATCAGCAGCAAAGCCAAATAAGTACTGATTTCTAGGACTCTTTGATTATGGATTCTGCAGCAGCCTAGCTTTTCCCAGCTGCCCCAATTCCATGGATTGCAAACCACTTTTTTTCAATCTGATGTAATGCCACACAAACATGATGATGGGAAACCATGTAAAAATGAAAAAGAAGACTGTCAAAGGACAGACTTGACTTTCCCCCAGATGTTCCCATACATGGACTTAGGAAGGAGGCGGTTTTGTGACCCTGAAAAACAAGACTCTGCCAGCACGTAGTTACATGCTGGTAAAATGTGATAAAAAGGGAAGTTGTTGTTGTTTGTTTGTTTGTTTGTTTGTTTTGCTTGGGGCTCTGTTTTGCTTACTTTGTGTCCAGAACAGAATTAAGCTTTTTCTTCCTTCCACCCCTGACGTGCTTGATTGGTACATCTGGACCGAATCCCACTTTTGTGGACAACACTACCCCAAACTGTGCTTTCCCCCATAAGCTTCCCCCCATGAAATTACAAATTTTGTGTAGATGTGTATACTAGGGATGGAGGGAATAGCTTATTCATTTAAAAATTTATAAACCTCACCCAAATCCCTGCAAGGGCTCTTTGGGTGCTGTATATAGCCACTAAAACCAATAATAAAATAAATAATCCCATAAAATAATAAATATGGACAAGGCCGAGTAGCATTCATTTAAAATTCACAAGAATATATGTCAGTCCATAAAAAGCCACTTCAAATTGGCAGAGGTGCGTACAAATTTATTTGCACAAAATTTGATTTCTGTCGATGAGGAGCCAGTGGTACAAAAGGTACTTGGCAATCCCAAAACACAGGTGCAGAAAATTCATACCATTTACATATCCCTTGCTTAAATGAGTTGGATCCTGATGACCGTGAGAGGACGCTGGGAGGAGATGGGCATTTATTGTGGGTGGAGGAAGAATTGGACCCGGAGCTCCTGCACCCTCCCCCTGGGTTTCAATCGTTCCCCCAGAAACTTTGAGGAAAGGGTTGTAAATGCTTCTCTAAAATGTCACAAAACACAGCAAAATGATGGAAGGGTTTCCAAGGAAGGTACTGATAGCTTCCAATATTTTTGCTGCTGCTGCTGTTGCTAGTCGCGAAGTCGCGTCCGCGACCCCATGGACAACGTTCCTCCAGGCCCTCCTGTCCCCCACCATCCCTGGAGTCCACTTTGTTGCTGTTATGCGCCATCAGGTCATCTCCAACTTGATAGCGACCCTGTGAATGAAAGCTTCCAAACTCTCCCAATCAGGACACCCCTGCTTAGCTGTGCCAAATTCAAGCTTGCGGCTTGTTTGACGGAGCCTGTCCATCTCATAGCCACTCTTCTTTTGCTTCTTCTGCCTTCGACTTTTCCCAGTGAGACGGATGGTCATCTCCTGGGAATCTTGCCTTCTCAGAGTGTGCCCAAAGTAGGAGAGGCTCAGTCTGGCTGCTTTCGCACTGGCTTGATTTGGTTTGGTGTCTACTCGTTTGTCTTTCTTTGGGTCTGGGGTATGGCAGCCAATGTGTACAGCATAAAAAGGGGCTTGGACACATTCCTGGGAGGTGGCTGCTCGTGACTATTAGTCCTGACTGCTCTGTGCTGCCTCTAGGATCAGAGGGAGGGCGCCTGCGTATACCAGTAGTTGGGGAACATAGGCAGGAGGGTGCGGTTGTGCAGATGCCCTGCTTGTGGGATTCCTGCAGGCAGCAGGCTGCTGTGTGAAGAGAACAGTGGCCTAGATGGACCCATGTGCCACGTCAGCATGCTATGAGCACACAAAGTACGCAGTATTTCAGGATAGAAATATTTCAGTATTTCAGCTGCAGCTGCTGGGGAACATGGATGGGAGGGTGCCATTGCACGCCAATGTCATGTGCAGGGGTTGGCCCCCATGTGAAGAGAAGGCCAGGCCTGGAGTTGCAGAGCAGGGGGAACCCCTCCCCCAGGGATGTGCATTCCGGAAACAAGCTCACCGTCCGTCCGTCTGTCCTTGCTCCCCTTGGCATGCTGCATTGGCATTCCTCTTGCCCCCATGCCTGCCCAGAGGCTGATCTGTAAATTATTCAGGTCTTTTTGTGTGGCTGCATGAAAAATTCATCCTGCTGTCAGCTGGGGAGTCATCCATGGAGGACCAGGTTTAGGGTTGCAAAGAACCGGAGCCGGTGACTGCTCCGGTAATTGAGCCAGACTTCAGTGCCGCCCCCAGAGACATCTGGGGATCAGGGAAGGAGGTGAGAAGGCCATGCAGGACCCGGTGTATAATTTCTATACCTCTCCCGGCTGGATTAATATTTTCAGCTTATATCAGTGTTGCCACCGGCTATGGTGCTGGAACTATTAAATGAGGGTCTTTGCCTCCGCAGAGCGTACAATCAAAATTTGTCTCCTTGTGGCTTGGAAACCTCCAGAAAGATTGGAGGGAGGGGTTATTCAGTGGAAAGGTGCAGTCTGTGAATGCCCGGGGTGCTCTTCCTGGTTCTTCTCTGCTTTTTGGATTGACAGTAGGCACAAAAACTGAACTCTGCTTCGTCCATCTTAAATTCCTTTAGGGCCCTCCTAGCACATCAATTTCAGCAATTTTTCTGCTCCCTTCTCAGAGTTTGCTTGCAGGAGACTGTTTGTGCTGGGTTTGCTCTCCAATAGTTGGTGGGCCATCAAGGAGGACTTAGTAATGGATTACAGTATGCCATCTCATAGGGGAAACTTTCTGTATTTCTCAAGGGGGTGTCTTGGAAGGGGGCTGGCTGCAGCTTCCAAGGGGTTCCCCATCATGGCTCAGAGACATGCAGGGCACGTGAAAGGAATGGCAAGTGTGCACAGTAGCATCTGTGTTCACGTGCCAAGTGGAGAGGGAGCACTCGCCCAAGAAAAGCTTGGAATTCCTGAGTTCATTCTGAACAAACCAAACAAAATGTTTGCCAAGCCAGTTCTGAACTAGGGAAATGGGGCAAAACTGCAAAGATCTGGAATGAGTTGGATTTTTGTGAGCCGAGCCCATGCATTCTGTAGCAGAGTAGCTTTTGTTGCGTTGTGTGGATTCTGTGTACTTGCAAACTTTTTAAAACTTTCTCTAATTTTAAGCAAGTTAGATAACAGAAAAATAATAATTAAAAACACAGTCTGAAAATGCACATTTCCTCCTTAAGGTGTGATGCGTGTATTTTGGTGGCATTTATGTATTTTGGGAGATATTGGTGCACTTTCTGAAATGTGATGTTGTGCCAAACTGTGAGCAAATGCTCACAAGTGTTTTGTGTCACACTTGCACAAAATTCAGTTCTATCAATAAGCAGATGATGGAATGAAAGTGGTTGGACTATCTGTGAAACACTGACGGATGAACCATGCTCATTCCAAACGGAGCCAAGCTGAAGATTGGCCAAGAAAGCATGTTACGAGCCAAACCCAGTGAAACCAAATCCTTCCCAAAGAAGCTTGTAAGGTCTGGGCTGGACCCAAATCCAACCAAATCGCATGCTGGCTGAGGAACTGTATGATTGCCAGACTGCTTCTGAGCTGAGCCAGGCTGAATGCTGCCCAGAGAAGCATGAAATTGCAGGGCTGATTCTGAGCCGAGTCAAACTGAAAGCTGGCCAGGGAAGGATGTAGTTGCCAAGATGATGCCGAATGATGCTGAATTGCATGCTGGGCAAGAAAATATGTAATTGCAGAGCCAATTCTGAACCGAGCCAATATGAACAGAGGCCAAAGAAACTGTAAATGCTGAGATGTTTCGGAACAAAGTCAAACTCAGTGCTGGCCAAGAAAGCATGCACCAAGTCAAAGCAGCGACTAGCCACATTTCCCTTATATGCAAAGAAAGAACAGGGAGGAGAGACAGATTTGGGAGGAAAAAGGAAGCCTTTAGGAAACCCTACTTCCTGGATGGCTAGTAGTCATAATGGCCTGCTACAGTGCCGCATCACTTCCAATGTCAGGAGGCTAGTGCAGCTTCAGTCTGATTTGGCAAGGATCTTTGGATGTTCTCATGGTCAGCAAACCTTTCCACTGTAAAATATCAATTATTTTATTACCATTATTACCTTTCCAGCAACTCTTCTCCTTCAACCTCTGCACTGACTTCAACCCCCACCATCAATCCAGTGCTCCAGGTATCAGCTTTTACTTCAGTTATTTTTCAAGGATTCATAGGATGGAACATGTTGTTAGTTGCGAAGTCATGTCCAACCCATTGCAACCCCATGGACAACACTCCTCCAGGCCTTTCTGTCTTCCATCATCTCCCAGAGTCCACCTAAGCTCAGGGCCACTGCTTCAGTGACTCCATCCAGCCACCTCATCCTCTGCCATCCCCTTCTTCTCTTGCCATCAATTGTTCCCAGCATTAGGCTCTTCTCCAGGGGGTCCTTCCTTCTCATTAGGTGGCCAAAGTATTTGAGCTTCAGCTTCAGGATCTGGCCTTCTAAAGAGCAGTCAGGGTTGATCTCCTCTAGGACTGACCGGTTTGATCACGTTGCGGTCCAAGGGACTCGCAGGAGTCTCCTCCAGCACCACAATCCAAAGGCCTCAATCCTTCAGCGCTCAGCCTCCCTTATGGTCCAGCTTTCACAGCCATATGTTGCAACTGGGAAAACGATAGCCTTGACTATACGCACTTTTGTCGGCAGGATGAGGTCTCTGCTTTTAGTATGCTGTCTAGATTTGCCATAGCTTTCCTCCCCAGGAGCAAGTGTCTTTTAATTTCTTTGCTACAGTCCCCATCTGTGGTGATCTTGGAGCCCAGGAAAGTAAAATCTATCACTACCTCCATTTCTTCCCCATCTACTTGCCAGGATGCCATATCTTAGTTTTCTTTATGTTGAGTTTCAAGCCAACTTTTGCACTCTCCTCTTTCTCCCACATCAACAGGTTCTTCAGTTCCTCCTCACTTTCTGCTATTAGAGTGGTATCATCTGCATATCTGAGGTTGTTATTTCTCCCTACAATCTTAATTCCAACTGGGGATTCATCCAGCCCTGCCTTTCTCATGATGTGCTCTGCATATAAGTTAAATAGGCAGAGCGACATTATACAGCCTTGCTAAACTCCTTTCTCAGTTTTGAACCAATCAGTCGTTCCATTTTCTCTTCTCACTGTTGCTTCTTGACCTGCATGCAGGTTTCTCCAGAGATAAATAAGATGGTCTGGTACTGCAACCTCTTAAGAACTTGCCACAATTTGTTGTGATCCACACAATAAAAGGCTTTAGCATAGTCAATGAAGCAGAAGTAGATGCTTTTCTGGAACTCCCTGGCTTTCCCCATGATCCAGCGTATGTTGGCAATTTGATCTCTAGTTCTGCCTCTTCAAAACCAAGTGGCCATGAAAGCTGTCAGGCCCCACTCCTTGCTGTTGTGGGATGCCAAGTCACACCCATTCAGAAAACTGAGCAGTGTCACCCTGAATGTCTCTAGTGTGGCAGAGTCCATGACCTCTCCAGGCAGCTGGTTCCACTGTCATGTTGCTCTGACAGCGAGGACGTTTTTCCTGTTGTCTGGCCCGAATCTGGCGTGCTTCAGTTTAAGTCCTCTGTTCCATGTCCTGCACTCTGGGCTGAGTGAGAAGAGGTCTTTCCCTTCCTCTCAGTGACAGCCTTTGGGGTATTTCGAGAGTGCTTTCCTATCCGCCCTCAGTCTTCTCTTCTCGAGGCTGAACGTGCCCATTTCTCTCCATCTGTCATTGCAGGGCTTGGTTTCCAGACCCTGGATCATCTTCGTTGCCTTCCTCTGAACCCTTTCTAGCTTTTCTGCCTCTTTTTAAAACCTGGGTGCCCTGAATGGAACCCAGTATTGCAGGTGAGGGTGCAGGTGTTTGTTGTGACCTTCTCCGTAATTACACTTCCAAACACAGTCCAAATGTTCAGGCAATGCTCTTCTTCCCCATCAACAAATTACTTCTCCCCATTTTTTACTTGACCTGGAGCAGGTGCCTTTTAAAGAAAGCAGGTCTTATTTGCCCGTCCAAGCTGTGCCAAACTTGCAATAAGAGACCACATAGTGATTGGCTTCAGCCCTGTGGCTAATGAGGCTGGCTAAAAATCAAATAATAAATACAGGAAGCAAACACAACCTACACTCAGGGTAGATTATGGGCTGCCGCTGAGCTGTGGGTTGTTTTGTTGTCTGCCTTAACAAGCCATGAAGCACCTGTGAAGAAAACCTTACAACTTACTGTTGGGTTCTAAGCTGTAGGTGATTCATGGCTTGTTATCTCAGCTGGATTCACACAAGATAACCCTGTTTCAACAACAACCCACAGTCAACCCATATTATATCATATAATATAATCCCATATTAGTGTGGATTCTTGTGCTGTCTTAACCCAAGCAACGTTTTTGGGAGAATTCATTTTCTCCCAGTTATATGTGGGTGTGAAAGCTGGAAGGGAAGACAGCTGCCAGGATGAAAACATGTATTTGAACCATGGTGTTGGAGGAGAGATTTGCAAATATCTGGGACCATCCAAAAGACAGACAAATGCACCCCAGGTCAAATCAAGCCAGAGCTTTGCCTAAAAGCCAGAATGACCAACTGCGCTGTCGTGCTTCAGAACATCACGAGAAGGCCAGCCTGGGGAAGACCATCATGCTGGGGAAAGTCAAAGGGAGGAGGAAGACCGACTCCGAGATGGATCGACTCTGTCAGGAAAGCCACAACCTTGAATTTGGAAGAGCTGAACGGAGATGTCCTTGACAGGACGTTCTGGAGGGCTTTTATGCACAGGGTCACCATCAGTGGGGGGCACCTTGAGGCACAGAACAATAAAAGGCTGGGATTGCAGCTGACTTCAGAGGGGACGGGCGATGCTCAAGGGGACGGGCGATGCCTGTGATGACGCTAATGAAAAAGTCCTGGTGAGGCATCTCTGAACGTCTCGGCTCCATTGCCACCTTACCGCCATTGAAAGTTCTGGATCGAAATCTACAACGGGGTGCGGGAAAACATGATATCGTTTTGTTCCCCCTCTGGGGAGACAATTCACCTTCCTTTCTTGCTGTCAGGGAGTGCTGAAAATGCGGGTGGGGAGAGCCAAATGTACACAAACCCTCTGATAATTCCTCTCTCTGCATCCCTTCAAAGTCTGACTTCTGCTGCTGTCCAAAGAGATTGCCTGCAGGCATTGATGGACCTTTCCCCCCTCTGTTTGTTTGAACACTTACGTTTTTTAAATGATGGGATGCAGCTGGATTGATTCTCCATCCAGGAACAACTCCCACTGCTTTTCTGTTTAGTCTCACCAGCCTAGTGGAAGGGAAGCTTGTCTAGGAATCTGCTGGTCAAGAAAGTAGCTTTTCTCCAGGAAAAATAACAATTTAGGCAGCCAAGGGAAACAGCCTTGTGGTGCTGAGAGATCCCATTAAATTTCCAGAGTTCAAGGTAGGGATTTATGAAAATGTTGTTTGTTTCTTTTTAAATATGTTGTTTGTTTGTACACCTGTATCATCAACTTTCAGTGATGGAATTGGATTTTTATTCTTTTTAAAAGAGATTTATGAGAATTTCATTCCCATTTGGAAAGGCACATTTGCAAAGTGTGGAAGGGCGCAATTTGCACAAATGTGCAGTTCTGCTCCATTTTTTAAAAAATATTGCCTGCAAGTTGATAGGTCTTGTGGGGAAACAAAACCTGCTGAGAAATCCACAGGTAGGGATTACTAGAAAGTCAAACTTGCTTAAATCAGTGATGGCCTCTTCTCTTCTCTTCTCTTCTCTTCTCTTCTCTTCTCTTCTCTTCTCTTCTCTGGTTGTGAAGGAGCTCCTTCCACATCATGACTCTGCACTTTCAGAATGCTTTCCTCAGAGTTGTAGTCTTTGCACCACTGGGAAACACCTTTTATTCTCCTGGGCTTTCTAATCCTTCAGTCACAGCAGTTGTTAAACAAGCTCTTAGAACGTTGTCCACCGTCCCTTTTCTCAGTACTTTTCATCTGGGGCTCAAAATATTGGCGTTTAATATTATGATGTATTATATGTGCATATTTTAACCTTTCTTTTCCAACCTTCCAAGTGAGCTCCAGCTTTTGATGGCAAGCACAAAAATGCAGGTATTACTTTAAGAAAAATATTCCAGAATGTTTCACTTAGGTTGCCTTTCGACTTGCCTGCCTCATTAGTTATACATTGTACCTGTCAGCCAGGAAAGAAAGATAGAGCCCTGTTAACCACCCAGAGATACTTTGGGCTATTGGGTGGTATAAATAATAATAATAAAGAAAGAAATAAGTGCATGCCAGATATGTTTCATTTTTACCACATCTAGCTTCTTAGGGCCTGCAGAGTCCCAATCTTGAGATCAGCTAAAAAGCTTACTTCCACTAAACGGTTTCCTCAGGAAGCACATCCCATATCACAAACTCCTGTGTTTTCTGGAGGGCTGAGAATAAGACACTGGATGATGCCCTGTTAGGATTTCATTTTGGATTGCTCTGTTGCAGGCCCTGCCATCTTTTCTTCTAGACTTCTAGACTTTGGGTCTGGAAAGGCAAATTAGCTCAGTGGCTACGGGCATGGAATAGCAATGCGCATCATTGTCACAATTTCATGCAACCAAATTGCTATATATATTTTTCCTCTCAAGTCCTTGGCTCAGCATCAACTAAACTTTTCCAGTGGCGTGTGGACCAGTGGCGCATGCACTTCGCAGGTCTGCGTGTGAGCAGATGGCCTGGAGGGGCAACGGAAGGGCATGAGCAACACAGGAATAGATCAAAGACAGAGAACCCTTTCAGACCTAGGGCCAGATTACGTTTCGGAGAAGTTCTGGAGTCCACATTCCAGTGATGGGCATGTCCACAGGCAAAAGCAGTGAGGCCAGAATACAGAAAGGCACCGGTGTATTTTATTTCTAAACACTTCCTGGCCATATTTCATTCATTCATTCATTCTTCGCTTTCTATCCTGCCTTTTTCCGACAAAGGGCTCAAGGCAGCTTACATCATTCTCTTCCTCCAACTTCTCCCCAAAACAACAGCCCTGTGAGGTAGGTTGGGCTGAGAGTCGGTGACTGGCCCAAAGGCACCCAGGTGGCTCCATGGCTGAGCGGGGACTAGAACCCGGATCGTCTGAGTCCCAGTCCCACGCTCTTAACCATGACACACACTGGCTCTCCATATATTGCGGCCATGTGCCATCAAGTTGTCTCCGGCATATGCCAACCATGTGAACTTCTGCTTTGGAAAATCTTTGATCTGCCCCAGATTAGCAATGGACACCAAGGCTTAAAGGGACAATTTTAGAAGAGGAGAAATGCAGCATGTAAACTGGAAACATCCAACGCTTGGTGAATAGAGGGAAGGGCGTGTGATCTTCTGGGCCACCTTGCAGCCTTGAGTTGTTGATGGGACCACCTTTGAAGGCAGGTCAGCAACTTCATGAAGGTCCAACAAAGCTGGCAGGCTGTTAAATTGGACTTGCCGATACATTCATATGATTGCAGTAGCTGCACTGGCTTCTGGGTCCATTTCTGAGCTCAGTTTGAAGTGTCCTGGTCCCATCTAGGCTTGAGACTGGACTATCTAAACAGACCTTCCTTCTTGCATGTTCCAGCCTGGACCTTCAGGTCACCTTCAGAGGTCTTTTGGTGGGTGTCCCCACAAGGGAGCTAGAGAAGGGGCCTTCTCAGTGGTGACTCCTCACTTGAATTAAGCCAAACAGGCTTCATGGCTGTTTTTCTCAATTTTTAAGAGTCCTAGTTCTCAGTTTCTTACTGACAGTTTTCTTCATTCCTGTGCAGTTTATGGTTTTACTTTAAGTTGTCTTTGATTCTTTGAAACATTATTGTATGTTTTAAATTGTCCTTTGCTGTTGTAACAGTTTAGCTGTTTGTAATCCCCCTGGATATATGCATTATTGGGTGGAATAGAAATGCAATTAATACAAAGATAATAAAATGGTAATAAAAACCAAGCGGGCTGGATTGGTACCACAGGAGGACCAGACTGACCTCTAGACCTGTGGTTCTGCAACCCCCGCCCCAGATGCACAAAACCTCTTTCCCCCAGGGCAGTTGCTTTCCCCCTACGCAAATATGTGCTGATTTAAACCAATGAACAGATGGACCATGTTGTACTCCTAAATGGATAGATGAAACAGTTCTTTGATTTGATGGCGATCGTCTCAACAGAAATAGGAAAGTCCAGAAAACAATGCTGAAAAATTGTGAAAAACTGAATCCAATTGATTAGGCCAAGGATGCCAAAAAGAAAAAAAAATGCCCAGGAAAGATTTATTTTTTTAAAATTATTCTTTTCCTCCTAGTTTTTCCACTAGAGATCTTCATATCTCTATACCTTGCTTCATTCATTCATGCTTATAGCTTTGTCCTGCATTTTTCTTGCAAGACATCTTACATAATCCTCCTCTCCATTTCATCTCTACAACAACCCTGTGAGGTAGGTTCAGCTGAGAAGGAGTCCCTCAGTGAGCTTCATGGCCCAGTGGGGACCTAGAAACTGGTTTTCCCAAGTCCCACTCAAACAACTCACTACTGCACCACAATGGCTTTCTTAAAATCAAATAGTGAAATTTTATTTATTTATTTATTTATTTATTTAGGAAGCTTCTATCCCGCCCCATTTGCCGAAGCCTCTGGGTGGCTCACGACAATAAATAACATAATAACAATATAAAAACAATATAATTGGAAACGTCCTGGCCAAAGATGTAAAATCAATAAATAATATTAACAATTAAAATGACGTTTAAATAAAAAGGTCTTGGCCTTGCACCGAAAAACGAATAACGACAGCGCCAGGCGGGCCTCTCTGGGGAGCGCATTCCATAAGTGGGGTGCCACGGCAGAGAAGGCCCTCCTCCGGGTACTCACCCTCCTAATATCCTTCATGGAGGGTTCCCGGAGAAGGGCATCCGTTGCTGATCTCGGGGCGGGTGGGCACATATGGAATGTGATGTTACTTGTTATAAATGAACATTTTCAGAATAATTAAACTGTTTTTCAAAGCAAAAGATTGTATTAGATCTGTGCTTTGTGCCTCCACAGGGAAGATGGACCCCTTTAGCACCAAGAATCTGGCTCTTCAAGCTCAAAAGAAGCTCCTGAGCAAGATGGCCTCAAAGAACATGGCGAGTATGTTCATCGACGACACCAGCAGCGAGATCCTGGACGAATTGTATCGGGTCACCAAGGAGTTCACCCATAACCGCAAGGAAGCCCAGAAGATAATCAAGAACTTGATAAAGATTGTCATGAAGCTGGGCTTCCTCCACCGCAACAGGCAGCTCAGTGCAGAGGAGCTGCTGCTGATGAAGCACTTTCGAAAGAAGGTCCACACCTTGGCTATGACAGCCGTTAGCTTCTACCAGATTGACTTCACGTTTGACTGCCAGGTCATGTCCAACATGCTGCAGGAGTGTCGTGAGCTGCTGCACAGTGTGGTCAACACACACCTGACGGCCAAGTCCCATTCCCGAATCAACCACGTCTTCAACCACTTTGCGGACTACGAGTTCCTCTCTGCGCTGTATGGGTCCTCAGAGCCTTACCGCTCTCACCTGCAGAGAATCTGCAACGGGCTCAGCCAGATGCTGGAGGAAGGCAACATCTGATGAGCTCCAGGCCTGTCCACCTTCGTACGCTTTCAGACCTTAGCCAAGGGAACGCTGGGGAACGGCCGTTGCTTGGCTGGTTGGGTGTCTGTTGGGGCCCTTCTGTCTTTGTACAGTGCTAAGTCACTTGCAATTCCCTTTTGGTTTGGGTCGTGTTTCCAAACTAGGGTTGTGCTGTTTGAATTAGTATTCCTGGTTTAGCTTGGTGGCCACTTGGGTTTATTCCACTCGCCCCTCTTCCTTGAGCTTCCCAAAATGAGCTGGTTCCTGCAAAGACTTTCCTTTCCCACCAGATAGAAGGTAGCTGTCCCAGGCAAACTGAAAGCAACTGTGGATTTAAATCCGGCATTCTCTAGAAGAGAAGATGGACTTCACCCGATCGATCAGACAACAGATATACTTACTCTTTCTGGTATTGGTATTTCGACTGTGGCGGAGCAGCTTCATCATGCTCTGAATTTAGAGTTCATATCAGGGTCAGAAAGGATTGCTAAGAACTTTTTTCTCTATCAGCCTTGTTTGGTCTCAAACCAAAGAACCTTTTCATCTGGCATCCTGATTACACTTTCAAGAGACCTTTGCAAAGCTTCTGGCATGGCAAGCAGGGGATGCCCACTTCCGGTTGCTCAGCCTCTCAGACCACAAGAGATTTGGTGGTAGACTCTCTGAGTCCATGGAGGCTCTATCGATTTGCACAAATGCATTTGTGCAAACTTACACTTCCCAAAATATGCAGCTCCTATCCGAAGATGCAAATCTCCCTAGAATGCATATTTTCACTAAAAATTGAAAATGGACATTTCTGTATTTGGGGAGTATACTTTTCTACCACTAAAAATGCACAAAATTAAGGAAAAAATTGAAAAGTCTGCAGATTCATGGAATCGCAGTTTGCCAGAATATCTCTGGGTTGCATTCCTAGAAATTCTTCCATTCCACCAGCAGTCAATCCAGCTTAAATCTGAATCCATCCCACAGTCTGTATTACCTTGGCCAAAACTTTTCAGGGTTTGAATTCCACCCCTGGGCAGGACATGAAACCAAAGCAGGCAGAGCTGCAATTGTGTCTTTTGTTTACTCTGGATGCAATGACACACGCCCAGAACCCTGTTCAGCAAAGTTTTCCCCATGTTCAGCAAAGTTTTCCCCATCTGTGTTTACTCTGGGGACAAAATGGGATGAGATAATATCACAAGCCCACAGCAAAGTCTGTAAAGTGCACAGCAGGCAAAGTGTGTGTGTAGGTACAGTCAAGAGGAAGTCTGGTTTGGGAAGCCTGCACTTGGTGCCCACAACAAACCACAAAGTGCGTACAACACACCATTCTACTGCAGTCCTCATTCATGTGCACGCAACCTCATTCAAACAACTACAATTTATGGCAGGCAAAGGGTTGGACACGCAGACTTGCTTAGATCCATCCCGTCTCTGTTTGCAGATCTACATGCACCCTTCACTCCATCAGTCGCTCTGTGATGGAATCGGATTTTGCACAAATGCGTTCATACACACTCTTAAAAGTGTGCAGATCCCCCATACTAAACTAATCCTCAAACAATGTGCATTTTCATGTTTTAGACTATGGGGTAAATGCACAATTTTGGTTAGTTTTTCCCCTGCAACTAAATTTGTGCAAAATTATGATAGCAGGGAAAAAAGAGTGGTCTGCAGACCTGTGGAATCTGCATAGTTCAGGAAAAGCTGAGGAATCTGTGGACTGCATTTATAGAAATCCAACTCATTTGAGATTATATATCCCTCGGGGCAAGAAGGTGGCTTTGTTCCAACCTTAACTGGATTCTTACTGGGAAAAGGAAGTGCCAGAACTGTGGGCAAAACTCATCCACTGGGCCAAGCCGTGCTTGGCTCAACTCACATAATGAAGATTCCTAGTAGTAAAACTGATGTCTTTGATTCCAGACCGGTGGGGAGTGGGGGGCAACATCTGTGTAGGAAATGTGACAACATCTGTGTCCTGCCCCTGCACAACTTGCTGTTCCCTAATCAGCACACAGGACTAGGTCCTGTAACGAAATGTTGCAGCGCAAAGCGCTCTTGTTCGCTGTTTCTGCCGGTCAACCTATTTTCCTCCACAGTTCTCCATTCCGATTTTTGTCCACCTGTTAGCATTTCATGACTGCTGAGTATGTGCAGCAGTCTCTGGATTGCTTTTGGGGAACACCCCGCAACCACTCAAGGATCTCTTTCTAAAACAAATACCCTTCTGCAAAGCTCATGATGAGCAACCCTGCTGAGCGGTTCTGTTTTTGGCTGGGTGGTGCTGTTTTGGCAGTGTAAGCATCAGTTTTCATGCCAGAGCATCAGAAAAAGAGAATTAATTCTGCAACTGTCTCTGGAAACAAGGGCTGGAAAAATCAAATAGGACCAATAGCAGTGCTTTGATGTGAAAAGGGGGAAGTTCCTGGAAGCAAAGCCATTACTTTCTGTCTGTCTCCAAGAAAACCCTTTCTTTTTGAAACTGACTTTGACAAGTGTCTTTTTTGAAAGCTCCAAGTAGCTAGTCCTCAGGGCTGCAAAGATGAACTTCAGATAACATGAGCATAATGTTAAGGGATGGCGTGCAGGAGCTTTGGCTCAACAGACTGTCATCCTTCATTTTGAGATGCGCAATGATGCAAAAGGGCCACAACACTTCCAGTGCTGACTGTAGCTTGTAGTTAGAACAAGTGGCTTGGCTATTTTTTAAAATACCTACATAAAATTAGTTGAGGGGGCAAGGGAAAGCCATATTTGCAGATATGAAATAAAGCTATTTTTAAAACTGTTTATGAAGTCTTTATCAAAAGGGTGCATTTGGAAATAGCCTGCTCGAGTAACTGAGTCAGAGGCGTTGTCCTTTGATGCGGAGATAAACATTCACGTGGTGCTTGCAATGTACACACCATGTGTGTGTGTTCCCTGTAGATATACAGTGAAGGGAGACATGCCCCCTGAACTTTGTGAGAGCAAATTCATCAGCAGAACATTTATTTTATTTGTATTAAAAATAAATGCCACGAACTTTACAGCTTGCCATGAAGGTCTTTGCTCTTTAGGGCCAGTCTCTTCCATCACAGTGAGAAGGACTTGCATAGCAAGTCACAAAGAGGGGACTTCTCTTCCCGAGTCTCTGGAGAGCAAGCAGAAGGTCTGTGCTTTGCAAGTGAAATGCTCTGGGTCGAATCTCTGGCACCATTGAAAAGCCCCCTGCCAAAACCCCTGGAGAGTCACCGCTCATTAGTGCCAATAACATGGAGGTAGACAGACCACGGAACACGGCAGCTTCCAAGGTCCTTCTGTCAAATCAGCTTTTTGCTCAGAACTTTGAGGACTAGAACCTTACCTCATTCTTTGGGCTGTGAGGTCAGATTCCTAGGTTCCTGTTTCAGATCAGTCATTTACTCAGAGCCTTGAAGACTAGTGCCTTATTTCACCCATAAGGGTTTTGGAGGGTGGCAGCTCCATTGGGCTTCTGTATCCATTCCAGGTTTTCATCTAAGCTTTGAAGAACATGTCCATGGCGCTGAACCTTATCCCCCAAAATAGGACCTTTAAAATACAGACTGAAACCAGGCATCGATGCACTTCCTCATGGATTTTGGAGCTAAGGGGATGAGCTATTTGCTCCACAGAAGGGGTCTTGCTTTCCAAAGAAAACTTTCCAGTTTCCACTTCCAGAGACCCCTGGAAGGGCTGGGAAAGATAATGTTCTGAAACTCTGGAGTTGCAAGAAATGATCGTGCATCCTAATTTGGAATTAAAGAAACAGTTAAGCTGTCAGCACAAGCTGGCTTCATGGCGAGGGGGAATCCAGGAGGAAGTGGCTTTTATGGCAACAGCGCAAGCTCTCCCACAGCCTGTAGCAGGATGGAACACAAAGAGGCCTGATGCTGCCATGGCTGTGTGTAGTACCCCCAGCCATGAACACACACACACAATACCAGGCTCCAAAGAAGGGCTCAAGCTGGGCATTTGTGGGTGGAGGGCAAAGAGTTTGCAACATCTGAGGCTGCCATCTTTCCTTGAGGGCTCTCGGGCCCAAGGGCCTTTTTGTCCACCTCATCATCTGGCAGAGAAGTCCAAATGGCATGCCTTGCAGTGGGAGATTGCTTTCCATCTACCTGCCAGGGTCCAGCCACTTGCCAAGCGGTGAGGGCAGTCCAGTGGCAGCAAGAAAGAGCTGGGTGGATGCTGCTACGGAAGCGGGAGAAATGTTGATAAGGGGAGAAGGTTGGTCAGCCCCCGGCTGAGATGCGGCGCAGTTAAGAGCAATAGGAATTGTTTCAAATGAGGAGCACTGCTCACACCCCAAACGCCAGGGGTTTTGCTCTATCTGACCCAGAATTGGTGGCCTCCTGGCCTCCTCCTGCTAAGTTTTATGCCCCTAGTTCTCGAGAACCCCAACAATCGCAAAACGGGGAGCCTCAATTTGGCTATTGCAGATCTTCACAGAGGAAGAACTAACTCAAGACAGGAGAAAGTTTGTAACTCGGTGGTCAAGATTCTGCTTTTTCAACCTGTTTTGTCCCAGGTAGGCCTTACAGAGAACACGCCTGCTATCAGGTAACCCTTTCATTTACAGCTTCTGTTGTCCTTCTTCTAAGAGTTGGAAATGTGGCAGGCACCAAGCCAGGGCCTATGATGGAGACCCTGGAAAGCCAATGTGGAAAACACTAAGGTGGGGCACGAGCAGCTCTCACTGTTTTGCATTTATCCTTGGTGATTAGTTTTGGGAGCCAGCACAACCTAATGGTTACAAACTGGGACTAGGGAGAGTGGTGTCCCTCATCCCCTTGACCATGACATTCACTGGATGGTTTGAATCCTGGATTCTCTGCTTGACCAGAGGACTGCTATGAAACATAGAAACAGAGCAAATCAGAAGGGGCCGCCCGGGCCATCTAGTCTGACCCCCGGCTCCAGCCGGCTCTGCTCACGACATGCCCACCACGTGCATGTCCAGCCTATCCTTGAACACCCTCAGCAATGGGGCCTCAGCGACCTCCCGGGGAAGCCCAATCCACGCCCTCGGGGTCCTGACTGTCAGGAAGTGCTTCCTGGCATCCAAATGGAACCTGGGTTCCCTGAGCTTGGCTCCGCTGGAGCGCATCCTGCCTTCCTCTGCAGGAGAGAACAGGTCTCTGCCCACCTCCGTGTGACACCCCCTCACACACCTGTATGTCGCCAACAGATCCCTCTGAGTCTCCTCCAGGGTAAAGAGACCCAGCTTCCTCAGTCCCGCCTCATACGGCATCCCCTGCAAACCAGCCACCAACCTTGTGGCCCTACACTGCACTGACTCCAACCTGACTATATCCTTTCTGTAATGAGGGGCCCAAAACTGAGCACAATACTCCAGTTGTGGGCGCACCAGAGTCGTATAGAGTGGTAGTAATACCCCTCTCGATCTAGAAGCCACACTTCTGGCTATGCAACCAAGGGTGGCGTTCGCCCTCTTGGCCACTGCATCACACGGCTGGCTCATGTTCAGCCTGCAGTGAACCAGCACCCCGAGGTTCCTTTCACAAGCACTGCTCTCCAGCCACTTGTCCCCCAACCTGTACTTATGGCACCCATTCCTGTGCCCCAAGTGCAAGACCTTGCACTTATCCACACTGAACGCCATCCTGTTGTCTCCTGCCACTTCCATGGTCTGTCCAGATCCTTTTCGATCTGGAGTACCTGCTCCTCAGTTGTGGCCACTGCCCCAGTTTTAGTATTGTCTGCGAATTTGATCAGCAGACTGTTCACCCCTTCTTCCATGTCATTGATGAAAAGATTAAGCAGGATCGGCCCCAGGACAGAGCCCTGGGGGACCCCGCTTGTCACTGGCCACCATCCCGATGATTCCCCACTAATGGTTACCCTCTGCTCTCAGTCAGTCAACCATGCCCTAATCCACTGGAGAGTGCATTGTTCTATCCCAAAACTCTTCAGTTTCTCCACCAGGATATCATGGGGCACTTTGTCAAATCCAGGGAAACCATATCCACTGCATCCCCTCCTTCTAATCTCCCATGCAGATATCCCCCATCCTGCTTTGGGGAGAACACAGAGGCAAAGTAGTCATTAGCATCTGTGCCTGTTCCCTCATATCAGTCACTGGATCCCCTTCCTCCTTTTTTAGTGGTCCCACCCCTTGTCTCCCTTTCCTCTTCCTATTTACATGCTGAAAGAGGCCCTTTTTGTTGCTCTTGATATTCTTGGCAAGTCTCAGCTCGTAATCAGCCTTAGCCTTGCGAAGAATCCTTCTGCAACGGGCCTCCTCCTCCCGGTATACCCTTTGGTCTATTTGCCCCAGTACCCATTTCCTACGGAGGTTCCTCTTTCGTCTAATCCCTCTAACCACCTCCTTTTGCATCCATGGCGGCACTCTCCTCCACCCCCCCACCTTACTGACTAGAGGTATCGTCAAGACTTGCGCCTCCAAAACCTCCCATCCACCCCGCCTCAAGTCGCTTGCCTTCCAGTAACCTGTCCCAGGAGACTTTCCCCAGTCTGGCCTTCAATGGCCAGAGTTGGCCCTCTTGAAGTCCCAGCTTCTAGTGCTTGACCTGCTGCACGTCCCTAGTCCCCTGATCTCAAAGCAAAGGATGGAGTGATCACTTGCACCCAGAGCTCCCCTAATCTGTACCTCATCTATCAGCTCCTCCCTGTTG